GCCAAAGAATTGTGGATAAAACTCGTGATTTGTATGAAACACACGATTTTGCGCTTATAATAAGTGCTGGAAATATTAATTTTGAATTTTATATTTTGTCAGTATGGGAATAACTTTATGTTTTCATTTTCTCTATTACATAACGTTATGTGTTTTATTTTTGTTTATTACTTTTTTGGGACATTAAACAAAATTATAGAAAATTATTGATGCTCACATATTTTTATGCATATACTCAGCGTATGGGTTAATTGTATAATACTCTGTGTATAAAGTATTTTTATTTTATTTAATTAAAATTCTATTAGCTTAATGTGTATTATTATTTTGAATAAATTATTTACTAATTAAGCAAATATTTTTTTGTTAATTAAACAAAATATTTGTTTTTTGGTTATTTATCTATAAAAAAATACTACAACAATATAATATAAACCTGAAAATAGTTTTCTAGAGTTTTATCAGAATTGAGTGAACATCGGATATACTGTAAATGGTATACGGTATTATAAAAGATCTAGCTAAATATACATAAATTTAATAGTAAATCATTTAATAAATCCATTGGTTTAAAATACATTTTGTCAAAGACACTCATTTGAAAATAAAATGTTTTATTTTTATAATATAATATAAACTTGTACAAACAACATAAAAACTACATAATTTGGCATAGGATACATAAAAATTATTAAACAAACAATTTTATTATAAAAGCATTTCATCAAAAGTCCTCATCGGGATCATCGCTATCATCGATCAGATTATTGGCTCCGGGATTGCGAGCGCCGGCGTTCTGAGCGTTATTTAGTATTGAATTGAATTTATTATTGTTATTAACGGTACGAATGCGCTCGAAGTCGTCGCTGCCGTGAAACCACGTGTTCAGAGCACCGATACGTTTGTTCATATAGAAAAACTCTTGCGATGACCCGCACGGCACCGACAGTTGACTTTCAAACGTACACGTCTGGGTCAGTTGGTTGAACACCGTGCCATTGCCGCATATGAACGTGTATTGTAGGAATCGCTAGTATTATATGAGTTAAAACTTTAATTAAACAACTACAGATTTAGCATTAGGCCAATATAATTTATACATTTCAAAACAATTAATAATTACACTAATTAATATTGTAATAATTGTAACAATAATAAAAGTAACTTACAAAAGTAAAATATTAATTAGTCAATTAAATTTGCTTGATCTTAATTTAATAACTAACATTATAATTATAGTAATTTAAAATTCCTTACATTAAATAAGTTATATTATTTAAATAAATAAGAAATTGTTATAAACAAGTAAAGACAAAGTTTATTTATAAATTGTAAAATCAAATTCTCGTTTATCATATTATTGTATTTAGGAGACTTTATAAAATTTATTTTTATTTGATATTTATAAATTAATAGAAAATAATTCTATAAATAGGCATAAATGTTATCATGTAGTAATATCAAAAAAAATTAACATAAATTTTCAATAAAAGTTTTTTTATACCCATCTCTACAAATAACAAATCGTTAAATAGCTTACAAAACAATTAATCAATTAATCAATTATAAGGTGTAATAAATAATGAATTCATAAATTATCGCTGCAAAAAGATATAATATAAAAATAGTAACAAATTATTTACAAATACAATCATAAATAATTAGAAAACAAAATATATTATCAAATAAATGTATGGAGCATCTCTCAATTAATTATATGAAACAAATTATTTATTTATAAACAAATCTAAATTACAAATGAATCTTATTTGGCCGTTAAGTGTATGAATGATTATGATAAATGGTCTTGTTAATTTCTATAGAAAAGCTAAAATTATTATTATTAATCGAAATCATTTCTAATAAAATAGTAAAAAATAGTAATTATAATCTATTATATTGTGTGCTCACAAAAACGTGTGAAAAGTGAATAATAGATTAATGGGTTAATCATAGTTCTCTCTCTCTCTCTCTCTCACACACACACTCACTCACTCACTCTCTTTCACACACACACACACAAGATTCAAAAATAACTAATCTGAGTGAGACTGAAATATGGCTCAAAATAAGTTTTAAACATAATTAAATATGGTTTGCATAGAGAGTTGATGACTCATTCATTATAGTGAAAGCACTGGTATTTTGAATAAAACTTTAATTTGTGAGATACAGCCATAAGAATCAATACAATATAAATTATATAGAATTGATTTTTACTTTTTTTCATTTTTATTTTATGTTTGGTATAAGAATAGTCTTTAAATAATATCAATGAAGTAAACAATACCAGAGCACACACAATGGTTTGTGTAATTAATTACCAATCAATCATTCTGTAAAGAGTTTTTATGCTCTGATTTATAATTATTGAATACACTTTTGAAAATACATTCAACACAATAGGTGTCAGAAAAATCGTACATAAAAAATAATAAGTTTATTGTTAAAAAATAATAGACTATTTTCACATTGATTCCTATAATTTATTAAATGGTGTTATTTTTAAATAATGATTATGAATTCATGTAAAGTAGTTATTTAATTCCTTACATTTTAAAATTATTTAACGCTAAATGTTTCTCTCCAAAGTTTTAGCTTAAGAAATATAAATAAAATAAATGCATATTTTATATGTCATTAATTAATAAGTGTGGGAATAAAATAATGGATTAATAATTTAATGAACATATTGTTAACTACATTGAGAACTGCGATTATAAAACAATCTCATTGTCATTGCTTTTGATTGAATAGATTATTACATAAATTAATTCAATACTTCGCTACAATTGAATTGTTAATCCAATAAAATGATTAATAAATTTAATATTCAAAATAAAAATTAATTTAAAATTATTAACAAATATTAAAAATTAAATAAAACTTCAAAGTTATCTCAGATAATATTCTCGATAACATACTTGTATATAATAGCAAATGCATAATACTCTATGAAATGTGTCATTTGAAGAATATAATTAACAATATAAGATTTTTATGCAGTACTTACAGGTTTAGAATAGTGAATGTTAATGAATTGGCACACATGGTATAGTTGGCAACTGTATGCGAAGAATAGCAATTGTTAACTATTTTATCAAATTCAAATTTAATATAAATTGTGAAAATATTATTTATGTTTATATTATTAATATTGATTGAATGTTGCAAATTGTATTAAAACAATTAAACTTAAATCTAACACTGTGCTAGATGTATTATTATAATTAAACTTTCAATTACTAAATAGTGGAATAAATAAATTATCAGAATTAAAGAAATCCTAAATTAAATTATTATTTAGTATATTAATAACAAATATAGGGCTAACCCGTTGTCAGTATCCGCGAAATACCCGTCCTCTTGGCACTCGAAGCTCGGGGTAATTGATTCCCTTAAATAATACCAACCGTCCGGCAAATCATAGGCACCCCTTTTGCTCTGTTATTAAGACAATCAATTATACAATGAATATCCCTATAATGAGTTAACATGTTATAGTACCCTGGATAACACTTGTCGAGCCGCACCATATCCAATATAGACACTTATTATCACAAGTATTGCGTTTAATACCAAATTATTCATTGTGTTTATGTGTAATACAGGAATTTACTTGATGTTTAGCACAAAATAAACTATTATTACAAATAGTAATATGATTATCAAGTAAAATTTTAGGACAACTGTGTGTATTACTGTTTATATTGAACACATTGTATATTACATTCACACCATTAGGATGATTATATGCAAACTATAAAAAGTTTTATAAATTCTTTTCAATATATAGAAAGTTTTTATTTCATTCAAGTCTGTGCTAAGAAATAAGAAAAAAAGAAGTGTATAAAAATGAGTATAAACTATGTTTCACTTTATGATTATAAAAATATATATATTTCTATAATTAGTACTCCTATGGACTGTAAGAAAGGATGGGGAGGGATGGGATGACACGATTCCAGTGTTTCCAGTGTTTGGATACTTGTTTTATTGTGCATCTCTCTATATGTGGTGATAGAGTTCACTATAAAATAAGTCTATTAATAGTCCTGATGAGAGAGAGAGAGAGAGAGAGAGAGAGAGATGTTTGAAACACACTATTAAGTGAATCACGAAAAGATTTCTTTATAACGTTCATTATTTAAAGAAAAATACTTTTGCTATAAAAATATGCTTCACTTTTACGGTATATTATACATGTAATTGAAAAAGGTTTTAATGTTTAGCGCTTTTGAAAAATAACAGTACATTATAACTGTTATAATAATATAATGAAGAAAAAAATGTTTATATAAATAAAATACTTATATTTATTATGGCTATAGTGGAATATAGTTAAATCATGTATTTGCTATAAATATAATTTTTCTTTAAATTTATATTTAAAACTTTTAAAATTATATAAAAGTTTTGTTGAGCGACTATTTACGTGCAGAGTGTTTAGTGGACAGGTATTGAAAAATCTATTCAGAAAAGTTTTGATACACATTTATTTTATTGACAATAAAATGATAGACAATTAAAAGTGTTTTAAAAACGGTTTTCTAGTTTATGGCCTTAAATAACATTTGAAATAGTATTTCAATAAGAAGTTCAATAAAATTTAAGACAAAACTCTTGTATTTTTTATTCAAAAACTGTTTATTTAGCATCAGGTATTCAATACAAACATAAAAACCTCAAATTAACTACAGTAGTGTTTATTTTTGAAAAGAATAAGCAAGTCTATTTTGGTATAGCTTTAAAAATATTGTAATTTATTTAAATATATTCAAATTTTATAGTTTCAGATTATTACTTTTAAAAATTAAAATCTTTTTACAAATACTATCTAAAATATTTATTTTAATATAACTAATTGCAATTTGACATATTTTGTATTACAGTATTTATTTAATAAGATATTTTATTTTCAATTATAAATAACTTTCTATAATATGAAAATTTAAATTTTAGATTTTTTTTGAGAACACAGGTTTGATAATATACTCAGGATGCATCTCATAATTTATCAAACGTTAGGTATGCATGTTGAATAATTAAAATTACTATTAGTAAATAGTTATTTAAATAGACATATGATTGAGATTTCTCCATTAGGTACAGAATTATATAAATAAATATTTATTACATATTTATTCAGCCTTTCACTTGTGAGCCACCATTATATTCATTCATTTGTGTTCATATATTCAAGTTATTATTATTATTACTTTCAATAGTGAAATATATTTATAATTATTTTTGATAATTTGTATTGTAATATAATGTGAACATGTATACTAAATTAAATCTATTAATTATTTTCTATTCAATTAAATCAATAGCCAGTGATTGTGGGCTTCCGGCCATACCTACCAATACAAAAGTCACAGAATTGAAGTAAATTTATTTATCAATATAATGTTTAAATCTTACGATAAATATGTCTAACATTTTAAATGTTATCAAATTTTTCAGTACTGTTTACACAGAAGGCTCACAAATTGAATACTACTGCGAATTACCAGAACTTGTGCTTTTGAATGGCAGGTACCGGGAGTGCAAGAATGGCGACTGGGTTGGACCCATTCCCTTTTGTGGTCAGTTGGTTTTAATTATTACTAGTTAAGGTAGTATGTAAGAAATCAACATGTTCTCAATTGATATACCAGTGAATATTAAGTTAATAAAAGTATTACCTATGTTGGATTTACAGAATAAATACAGTATTAATCTAATTATATACTGTAAAAGTTCAAATAATATTAATTAATAACTAAAATAAAAATAAAACTTTTACAAAATAATAACACTACATTCAGATTAACTTAAATTGAATTAAATAATACTTAATGAAGTATTCATATTTAGCTGTGTATTATAACAAATATTTTATACTAATAAACAACAAGTACTAACTGTTAACAAAACCTAATTATAATTTGTGTGCCAATAGGCGAGGAAATAGGCGAAAAGTCGGTCGTAGCCGTACTGACCCGCGACCGCACCGGCAGAATGAAGAATATTACCAAAAGATCGTTCGGTAAACACGGAAAGGCATTTGAGGGCGACCCGGATCGGGACACGTGTCTATACAGTCAAAACACGGGTCGATACAAACCATTGGCCGAGTTTACAGTGTATTTGAAGCGCAAGTACTCACATATTTCCTACTTCGAGGTGTCGGTGCAAACGCAACAGGCAGTCAATACCGCAGATATCGTGACAGACACTGTGCTCAACCCCGTGCGCGCCTGTACCCCATCGGTGGTGGAGCCGGCAGTGGCGCCGGCATTTCGGTTGCGATTGAAGTTTGTGTGCGATTTTGTCTCCTATACCGATGAAGAGACCTTTTGGTCGTACTATGAAAAGGATGTCAACCAAAACATTACACTTAAGTATTATTTATAAAAGTCTTGTTTCTCATTTCCTTTAAAATTTAATCAGAATAAACTAGCTAGACTCATTTGCGTTAATAAAATGTTTATATTAAAGTTACTCTAATTAGTTTATAATAAGTTTGTTTTGTTAATGTCACGGTTATTCACGGAATAAACATTATTTTTCATATTTAATAACTTTATACCTATGCCATGGGAATCAAAATGTTCTTGATTATTAAAGTTATAATTTAAATTTAGGATTAAAAAATTTTATGTTAGATAGATGGCAACATAATTTAAATATAATACAATTAAACATAATAATTTTGTAAAACTTTTATACACCTATTAAAACTTTAGATTTAAACTTGTAATTGCACCAGGTTTAACACCACATCATTGTCTATATGTGAAATCCGTTTGTTTTACCGCAAGTACCTCCAGCCCCATCAGTGCGGGTCAGTCGACATCCCACTCCACTCCACCATTGAGTTCGTACAGTACGGCAGCAAATACGGCCAAATGCCGTACTATAGGTACGGGTGCGACAAACACTTCAAACTACAGGGCAGTGAGGAAGTCCGGTGCGGTGTCAGCAACAATTGGTTAGACCCGTTCCCATCATGCGTGCCGACAGTCCAGTGTCCCATACCTACAGAGACGTACGTTCAGGATTTGGTTACAGTAGTCACTAATTTCGAGGGTTTACTCACGTATAACATTACGGGCGCCGAGAGGGCTGTTGCCATACCCGGCTCTGTAGCCATATATACTTGCGATACATTAAATCAGACACAAGTGATGATCGGGGATTCAGTGAGGGTGTGCACCGACTCGGGTAACTGGTCCGGAATTGAGCCATATTGCATCGGTAGTATACGTTTTATCTACCTTTTTTGAAACTACCGTATTAGTATGCATATTTTAACCAAAGTTAGTTTTATTTAAAAGATCATCACCTTTTTCTATTTACTCTATTAATTATAGATTTATAATAAAGGTTATAGATTTTGTAATAATATAAAAATTTAGATTGTCTAAAAATTCTTACATAATAATTTAAATGACAATATATAATAGACCCTGCAAAGTAATTACACAATTACCGTAATATGAAAGTCTTTTTAAAATGCAAATAAAAACAAGTAACAATAATTTATTTGATACTTTCCAGACTTAAATGAACTAAAATTGGATAAATACTCGGAAGTGTTTGAATCGCGACTACTCAATGCAACCGACACTCCCGACACGTATTGGAAAAATTAATAATTAAAATATAAATTCATTAAAAATACCTCATAATTTAGGCCCCGGGAGGACAGCACAGACTGCGGGATGCCATCGATGCCGATGTTCGCAAAGCCAGTGCCATCGCGATGGCGGTCGCCCGACCTCAGGTCCCGGTACCCGAACGCCACGCGCATGACCTACACATGCGAATCGTCCTTTCACTCGATGTACACCCAGACAAAGCCCAGGGTCTGCGTCAACCGGCACTGGAATGGGACAGCCGGTCGATGTGGTCGGTATTGGGGTTTAAATTATTTGTTAATAATCTTATGATCAGTATCATTTTATGAGATAAACAAACAAATAGCACAAATTATTCGCTTATAATTACAACTAATTAGTTAGTGTTATAGTTAGGTATATAAAATATATTTCATTAATATAGCATTACTACTAATAATTTATTAGTACAGTATAGAAAATTTTAATTTATTTTACAATCATTTACTGGATTAGCCTCATTTATGAGATAATTACTAGAATATGTTAATAATTAATAACATTAAATATTTACTAAATTGTTTGTAGCTAACTTTTTCAATAACAGTTTTTCAGTTTTACTAATAAGTTAGTTATGTTAATCACATTTATAGAGATAGCATACGGCGGGGCACTGACTCTGATAGGCATTACGGCCACCGATTTCAATACGGGTGAACTCATACACGAGTGGTTTAGACCGGAACCTAACGCCACAAACCAGACGGAGCTGGAGTATTACTATCAGTCGGCATACGGGGGTTGGGGTCAAAACCAGTGCATCCAATTCAATGTGAGTCGACAACACAAGTGGCGGCTTCGGCTCAACGACACCCAACCCATCACGTCGTTCTACCTGTCCGTCAAACCGGGCGGTATGTACGGCGGTTACGTCAACTGGGGAACGGCCGAACAGAATGCGACCGCCCGGCGCCCTATTATGGCCAAAGTGGGCGCCACCTTTTGCAAGGCCACCGGTATATTCGACTATAGGAAGCGCTCGACACACGTCCAGTTCCAGTGCAATAGGGACCCCACTAGTGCTGATTATTCGGATTACGCTACCGGTGCCAATGAAATCGTGCTATACGTGAACCCCACGACAATGGACCCCGGGTTCGACCCCCAGAATATCAGCTTCTGTTCGTTGAATATATTTCACTCGTCCGAGTTGTGCGGACTACCGGAGCGGCCGCTCAATAGTATTGTCGAAGTGGTCAACCAAATAGCCATTTATTCCTGTGAGGACGGGTATGAACTGATTGGTGAGTCCTATCGATGAACCCTATCATATAATAAATGAGAATAATTTGGAGGAATATTTTTAAAAAATAATTTATAAGATAAATACAGAATATTGTTGATTACAAACTCCAGGTCCCAAACGGGTGGCGTGTCTGGGGAACGGGCAGTGGGCGCGCGAGTTCCCGGTGTGTCGACTCAAACGTCAATACTGTCCACAAGTGACCGATAAGTCGGGCATATTTTCGAAGTACCAAAACATGGCACCGGACGGCTCCATAGTATTGGGTACTATAGTAACTTCCCGGTGCGCCACCACATTATATGGTATTACAGGGCGACCATTGCTGGTGGCGTCGAGGACCAGGATATGCCAGACCGATGGCAAATGGAGTGGTAGCCAACCCTTCTGTATTGATTCAGACAAATATCAGCCCAAAAGCTCCGGCAATACGTACGGCATGTCTTCCAAGGCGTTGATAATTATCATTACAGTTGCAATCACTTCGGTGGTGGTATTCCTCATTATAGCACTGGTGGTTCTGTGCCATGTATCCCAACAGTGCTACCAGTGCTTCGTATACTGTAAGGACAGTATGTTTAATAGAAATAAAACAACGGGCGCCGATGGTAATGGCATAGTTAGACCAGAATCTCAGGTCGATATCAATGAGATTAACGCAACGCTGGCACAGTTGGCTAGCTTTAAGCCACATCCCAGGGAACACCTGTCCACTGATACTAGTGAAGCAAATAATAATACCAATAATAGCATTAATAATAATAGTGACTACAAAAATGATTTTTAATAATTTAATAAATATTAATACTAACTAGAAATAAAAATTATAATTTGATTAAAAAGAGACTATTCTTTAGATGACAAAACTAATGAACACTTTTAGGTGTTTTCATAAGTGATTGTAATTTTATCTAAAGTTTTAAAATTTTTAAATATGAGTGCAATATGGTTTAAAAATTATTAATTCAATTTTTATGTAATTTAATTCTAAAAATTTTAGTTTTAAAAAATTTATCAAAATTCCCAATAATTAATATTAATATTAATTGACAGTATAATTAATTTTAGATATAGGCTGAATTAATTATAAAATAGTTTTTATCAATTTTATAAACTATTGACCACAAAATTTCAATGCCATGCAGTCGTTAAACTTATTATTAGTAAAATATAGTCATTTTATATGCAATTCATTAACATTTAACTAATTATAAACTTTTAAATGTAAGGAAAATTTGTCATTTCTTATCTTAAAAATAGGTTATCATTAGAAAAAAGTTTAAAAATTTGTTATCATAGCCTGCAAATACTTTAAAGCTTGATAATATATTAAAGTAGTTTGTAAATGTAAATGAAATTAATAGCTAGATTACAATTAATGAAATATACCTTTATTAAAATAAGAAATTAATGTTATTTTGAATTCATATTTATATCTTAATTTTTAGCAAAAATATTAAATTGATTTTAGTTTACAATACCAATACTATACTAGCAAGTATTTAACCCTTTTTATCATTATAAGTTGTGTTGAATTTAAGACAATTTTTATCAAAATAAATATATATATTATATATAAAATTAATTATTATCAATATTTTCCCAAATATACAGTTAAATACTAGTATTAATAAGTGTTTTATTGAGACACTCGCTATGTTAGTGATTATATTTGTTTAAATAAGTATTTTCATAAGTTTATTATTAGATATAGTATATAGATTTCTTAAAAATGATTTGCGATGAGTCCTTTAAGCCTAAAAACATATTTAGATAGATAGACTATTCAGAAAATTATATTTCTTAATGTTTAGAAAAACAATTTTATTTTCCAATAATTTGTAGATACGAGAATTATTAGTAAATAATTTTCGTGATATAGTTAATAAATTAATATCTAAATTAAAGTATTCGTTATTTAATATATAAAACCACTCTGAAATAATTAAAGTTTAATAAAGTTTTATGAAAATTATACATTACATACTATTATTCCGCAGAATATATAATAAATAGTTAATAGATTTGAGACAGGTAAACAAATCATATTTGATTATTCGTTGGCGATATTCTCACAGATATACTCTTACTTAATATGTATTTTACAAACAGATAGTGTAGTTGTTTGCTGTAAAGTATGTGAACTTTGGAAATTGATCCCCGATTTTATCTAATAGTCTTGTCATTAATTGTCAATTTCTGTCATTTTAATACATAAATTGTATTCAAATGTTATATATATTTGTTTGATTAACAAAGCTAATGTAATTATAACAATATATACTAAGCTTAGTTTATACATAACGACAGCATATATTAAACACGGAATTAATTTAATGCAACAATTGAACGGACATAGCGTTAGACTTTGTATCCATAGCATAAGACGTGAGAAATCAATGTAAATAAGTTTTTGAGACAAAATAAATTCAAGTCTCAATTAACATAATATTTACGTTAGACATGAGTTATCAACTCATCGACAAAACCTTTGAGACATTAAATAAGCATAAAAATGGTGCAAATATTTATGTTTTCAGCGGTAATTCAATGAAAATTAATGATTCATATTATTTTTTAATGATAACCAAAGTCTAGGAATTGAAAATTGTTTCTCAACTAATTCAGCAGTTTTTTTATAAATGGATAAATTGTTGATAGAGAATAGAAATGTGTTTTTGGAAAATAAACTATTTAATAGATTATAGATATAATAATACCAATTAATAATGGTTAATTTTATATGGCATATATTTTCAACAACAAAAATTTGTTTTGAATAAACAGGAAATAGTGGTTTCGTTACAAATAATTAATTATCTTAATGTATGGCTTATAATCACTGATCAAACTGCATGTGTATATTTAAAAAGGGGGTAATAAATGGTAGGAATAGCCCACTAATAACCCACTCCTACCGATACCCTGTTTAACATTAAATATCCTTCAAATAGTACTCAAAATATGGACATAAGTATAGATTTGTTTACTTGAATATCTTATTAATTCATCAATTATTTTATACTTTGTATATTAGTTTTTAAGGCACTTTTCGTACCATTACTTCCGGTCCCTCTCAAGAATTTGATGATATTTTTCAGAGGTTTCAGACCTTTGGCCGTCACTTGTATTCATGATGTTTAACAGCCTATAGCGTACACCACGTATAGTAACAAAAAGATAGCAAATGTCAATACAATTGTACAGATCTATTGATACATTGATAGCCAGAATCCTTGAAAATTCATACAAGAATTCATAGCGAAAATCAATGTGCATTAAAAAGCACTTAATTACAGCTAAATGCGTTCAAAATACGATATAAAATATCACAAACGGTTAGTACTCATTTAGTGCAAAATTTAAAAAATTAACAAATTTTATCCAGCACTTTCTCTCACTCGACTGATACGGATCTATGATTACTTTCAATTTAATTGATTACCAAAAGTGTTAAAACATGTATTCGTAGATAATTTTCAAAGCCTTTTATTTTATATAATTATAAAACAATTATTATTATCTTAAGTAGCATTGTTTGACAATTGGTGTCAACCCTATCTATAAAACACCTGATTTGCGAAATATTTGCAAAAGACAATAAGCTCAACACTAGTATATTCACCATGATAATTGTATGAATGAATGAAATCACGTGTCCTACACCTGATTCAGTGTTTGAAGTGTATATCCCGTTACAACAGTATATCACTAAGAGTTTCAACAATTAATAATACTTATAAATTATTTATATTATATAAGAAAACAGCAAACAAATCAATAATTATCTGGTTGTTTTCGTGTGACTTAATAAAAAATAAATGCAATGAAAGCACATATAATCTCAACTAATAATTTCTCTGTCAATACACTTAACATTGGATTTAAATAATATAAACATGAAAAATAAATGTCATTTAATAAATAGATGGAATAGTACATTATTTTGTAATATTGTTTGGTATTGAGCACCAAAAGTACTAATGATAAAATCACAAGGCTACTTGCTAATTGAAAAACTAATTTAACATGGATTGCTCAAGCACTTCCTAGTTTGAAAAATCAAATTAGTACCCATCACATGTTTATTATGACCAGATACTTACTTAAATGTAATTAATGTTAGCTGTTTATCTAGCAAAACTAGTATTCCTATTATTAATATACGTTATATGAAATTTGTTTGACAATAAAAATTAATTAAGAATAATTAATAAATAAAAATACAAATTTCTAAATAAAAATGATTATTAAATTGTCTACGACTACATGTCGAGAGTATCTAACTGTCCATTGCTTTGGTAGGCCTTATCTGATCCACTTGAGGAGTGGTTGTTGACGTTAACCGTAGAAATATCACTGAATTTCTTGTGCGATCAGCACAGGGATGGATGAAAGCGCTCTATTATACTCTCTATTTGCAGTTTATATAAGACATAAGTACTCGGACTCTGATCACTGAAAAACATATATTAAATGTGTGAGAGAGAGGGAGGGGAGAGAGATTCACTTCTCAAATATTCTGTATATATATAGTGATAATTGTTTAAATAGATTTGAAAATTTAATTTTATTGGCCTATTATTCAGCGATAGGATAGTTAGTCGACTAAAAACGGTCCGCAAACTATAGATACCGTTCACAACATCTCTATTATAGCATTCATGCAAATGGTTTCGTAGTATCGGTGCACAGGAGTATAGTTTTGTTATTATAATTAAGTTTTTATATTAATATTCGTATTCATTGTAAATATAATAATTTATATATAAAATATATACAAATCGTTATGTTTTGCTACAAGAAAGTAGCGCTTTTAGTAGCGCTAAGTTTCTGTTTAGGTATGTATTCATGTATTCATTTCGTTTTATTATCATATACACAAACCTATTACAGAATATTCTGTGGTATAATAGTCATTTGAAACCAACTAATATGCCTGACTAAATAATACTAACTAAATGATGATCAATATTAAAATATAAAAACAAATTTGTAAATTTTATTACAAATAGTTAATTTAATGTTATTGTAGTTTAAAAGTTAAAACTATTGTAGTAAACCTTAATATAAAACGTATACAGTACAGTTTAATTTCTTAAAATAATAAAACCAAAATAATTATATCCTTGCTAATTAAAAAATGAGCATTTAATAAATTACTATAAATTATAAAATTTAAAGCAAACGTGAGAAATAACTGTTAAATTATTTTACAGTTTTATAATTAAACAAATTGTCAAAACTCTTTAATTACAATCTATAGGTTTATAGAGTAATCAAAGTTAGTATTATTAAATATCCTTGACTTTAGTGTCTAAATCATAAATCACTAAATGGTATATTAAATTATTATCTCAAGTCTAATATCAATGAACTGACAATTTCTTGCTTATGATAAGCAAATATAAAATCGCATCAAATAAACCACTATACAGTTTGTGAGTGTATTTTTGTCAATTGTCCAGACATTCAGTCAATTAATGCTAATTATAGTGCACCACAAGGTTGTTGTCAATCCCTATATGTTTTCCATGTAAACGATAGTTTATTAGTCAATTAGTCGTGTAATACCAGATAGTCTGCAAAATAATTTTCTTTCACTGATAATCAACACTAGTTTTCATTTACATCTCACTAATCAATGAATTCAATTCACAAGTTTAAGGCAAAAATGAAAAAGTGTTAAGAAAGGAAAGGGTTGGAAAGGCATAAAATTAATTATTAAATATTAAATTAAAGGTTTAACTTACATTTTAGTCATTTACCGAAATATATCGCAAGAATATTCTGGAATTAATAGTTTTAAACTGAAACTAAACTAAAATCTAAGATTAAAACAAAACATTAACAACAAATGAATAAAAACCCACATACCTTTATTATCCGGACAATATATACAATTAACACCGTAATTACCACCCTGACCATATAGCACAATGCGATCACCACTCACATGAACACAATCACCAGGCTCATAGCCTACTGAGCGCGTGGGACCACGCCTACCATGACTACCATCACCACCATCCCATCGACCCGCCCAACTGCGGCCAAGTATGTCCCCGATCGGTGTCCAAATATGGGCTGTTCGAAGTGGGACAGGTGTACACCGTCGACGTGGACGGCCAGACCCTCATCAACGTGAAAGAGGGCCAAACGGTGTCCCTGAAGGCTAAAGCGGACGTCCAGGTGCTGGGGCCGTGCGAGTTCTCGTTGAAACTGCGCGACACCGAAGTGTCGGGCGTACCCAACCCGCAGGAGTTGTCCGGCGAACTGGACGCCAGCCCTGCCCTCAAGTTCGGCGCACACGACGGCAAGGTATTAGGTGTCTGTGCGGCCCCCCAGGAGGCCGTCTGGACTCTGAACGTCAAGAAATCGGTGTTGTCTGCGATGCAAGTGACGACCAAAGACTTGACTCAAACGCAGACCATCGAAGAGGTGGACTTCTCCGGCCACTGCACCACAACATACCGGCCCACGTCCGACACCACTGACCCCAAGAACGTGGTCCTCGAGAAGACCAAAAACCTAAACAAATGCCACTTAAGACGAAAGAACATCTCGGGCTTCAACTCGAAATCGCTGACCCTATTGACGGAGTTCCTGCGCGAAAACCTACCGATCCTTAAGTCGAGCCAACGGTGCACTCAGGAGATCAAAGCGGGCCATCTATTCAGCGTCAGCTGTATTGAGGAGCAGAGGCTGTCCTTCCAGGACGACTCGCTCGTCAGGTCGACCCTTAACCTCAAGTTCGTGGGTAAGGCTCCGGCCAAAGCGGCGGTCACTCTGCCGGCTACCGTACCCCTCGTGGCTCAGAGTCTGCTTATATCGCGCGACAACGAGGACCAGAAAAACGCTACCGAAGCCGAAGTGTTGGCCCTTTTGAAGGACATGTGCACTGAGGTGACCGGCGATAAGCTGTCCGCCAAAGTCGCCGAATCGTTTCACTCGTTGGTGTGGGCGCTGCGAACCCTCCCGGAGTCGGGCACCCGTACCCTAGACAAGGCCGTCAAGACCGGCGAGTTGTGTTCGTCGCCCAAACTGAGGCACCTATTCATCGGCGCCTCCGCTTTCGCCGCCACCGACCCCTCTCTTCAGACCCTAATCAACGCCTACAAGTCGGACGAGTTATCCGAAGCGCAGATAACGCTACTCCTGTCGCTGGTGGCTCTCAGATCCCGGCCCTCCGAGCGCACTATCGACCAGTTCTCCGGCCTCATCGAGAAGTCCCACTCTCCCCGTCCACTTGTGTTAGGCGTTTCCCTTATGGTGAGGAACTACTGCAAGAAGTCGGACAGCTGTGAGACGGCGCCGGCCGTCAAGAAGATCATCGACACGTTGGTGAAGAAGCTCCGGGAGTCGGACTGCGAGATCGAGAGGACCACAATCGTCAAGGCGTTGGACAACATCCGGTCGGCGGGTCAGCCCGCGAAGGAGGCGCTGTTGGAGAGGGCGACCAAATCGGACGAAGACTCCGGCGTACGGGTGGCCGCCATCCAAGCCCTGCAACGCACCGGCGACGACACCGTACGACAGAAACTCGTGGAACTGGTGCTGAAGGACTCGGAGCCCAACGAAGTGCGTACCACAGCCTTCCGGGCGGTGGTGCTGTCGGGTGCGGCCACTCAGGACCAGTGGGACGCCATCAACACGGTGTCCGACCCACTCATTCAGAACTACGTGCGCACTCACGTCAAGGCCTTAAGACAGTCCACTAATGCTAACCGTAAGAAACTGGCGGAGAAGGCGACGAACATCCCGGAGCCCAAGAGCTCGGGTTTCGGTGTCTCGCGTAATGTGGAGTGGAGTTATAGGGGGCTCACCATCGAGACCGATGTGGTCCACCCCAAGGGTTCGCTCGTTCCCAGTCTATACACGTTTGGTGTCATATACCCCATGGGAGGTACGTATAGCGCCTGTAGTCTGAAAGACAATGTGTCAGTAATTTAACGATTAAAACCATTTGTATGCCATACCTGTTTACCAACAGATAAGGACTGGCAGCTGCTGGAGGTACAGGTGCGCCAGAAAGGACTCGACAAACACATCCAGAGGCTGTTCTCGAAGGGCGTGGGCGGACCCGAGGTGTTGACCCAATTGACGGAACAGTTGATGGAGTTGTTGGCGAAACTGAAGGACCCGAAGCACACGCATGAGACACGGCTGCAGCTGTCGGTGCGATTGGGCGGCAAAAACGTCCTCTTCGTCGACACCTTCGAGGACATCCACAACGCCATCGCATACCTGCGCGACAAACTCCAGGCGCGCTACGAGACCGACAACATAGATCTGGCCCGGGGGCTGGTCGGACTCGACAGCCAGGTGGAGGTGCCCACCATCAACGGCTTCCCCCTACTGGTGCACCTGAACCAGACAGTCGTGGCGGGGCTGAAGGGCGAGAACAACGTGCAGGAGAGCGCCGGCACTAAGACCCGCAAAGTGCGGTCGGCCCGCAATCTGGTCGAAGAGTTGGCCGCCGGTGTGAGGCTGAAGGTGCGTAACTACCGGCCCGGTATGGAGTGGTCGCTCAGAGTCGAGATCAACACCCAGACGGACGTGCAGTACGAGCGCATCGACGGCAGGATTTTGAAGTTGAAGTTCAATCTGCCGGCCGATAAGCGCACCTTGTACAAAATGGCCCAAAACACCAGGCTCATCGACGGCTATGGTCAACCGCGAGTGAGCAATGAGGTCCAGACGGGCGATGACGAGACAATCAAATGCCGACAACTATTCGGTCAGTGGTTGTCATGTTTTTTCAGTAGTTTTATAGAAGTTTTATACAAGTTTTACATCAGTTTTATGTGGAGTTAAAAAAAACTTTAGTTATTTTTTCGCTTACTTTTTATGTGTCCATTCAATAGACTCTATTGCTTGTGATTAGACAACAAATATTTGGAGTTATTTTTTGGTGAAATACTAATATCATAGTTAAGTGTGAATGTGTGTGAAATAAATATTTACTGGTTACTGATACATAGGCACAGGTGGCAAAACATTTTTTGATTTAATTTTTTAGGTATTATGAACCTATCATTACAAGCCGTAGATTTAGACACAGATATCATTTTATTAATAGCAAGGAAACAAACTTTTCAGTACTACTCGAGACCTCTAGTGATTATTAACACAAGCACACACATTTACTTTTAAAACTTTTTATTATTATAAATATTTAATTATCCCTATTTATGAGCCAATTAATTAAGTAAGCACAACTATTTCAATAATTTACATACATAATTAACTATAAAATACTACTTACTACAGGAAAAACTTATTACAAATAATTTTTAGTTGCAAATTGAATGTTTTAATAGTAAAACTTTAGACTAAATACTGTTATGAGAAATACATGTCAATGAAAGGGAAGGGTAGCCGATGGCCAGTTCATTTAAGCTCAGGCCTCCTCACAACGTACGTAATAATCTTTCGCCTTTTACTAAAGATTACCGTGCGAGGGGGCACTATAATGAGCCATTAAACGGCAATTTTTGTATAGCCCACCCATTTGACCATTCCAGGTCGGGTGGGCGCATAATTAAACCAAAAATAGACGCACAAGTAATTAACACATTAATTCACTCTAAAAAGTTAGTTAACATTTTTAATGATGACTTATTGTCTTAATTAAAATTAATTTAAATGCATCGTATTTAAATGCACTAGTGTCATTTTTAAACTTTTTATACTACCGTATATTTTTGTTATTTAACATTTGCAACTAGTTATAGTCTAATCATCATTATTAATATATAATAATTAACAATTAACATGTAATGCCCCAATAGGCCTGGACATATGTCTGAAGCGTGTTTGGCTGGACAACTCGCCCATACCATACCCACAATACGCGGAGTACTACTACACCAAAGCCGACCCCTCGCTCGAGTCCATTGAGTTGGTCCTCGAGAGGCCGGCCGCCGACGCCAAGGACCTCAAGACATGGACGGCGCGCGTGAACGCCGGTCAGCGCCAATACTTGGCCCAAATAGAACTCCAGAACCCCGAGGGCTACCCCAAGAAGGTGAGCGCCAAACTCCAGTCCCCCAAACGCACGTCAACGGCAGTCGTGTCGCTCGATCGGCAACAAAACGGCGACAAATCCAACCTCGAGATCGACCTCAAAGTGCCCGAAAAGATCGATATAAACACCAAATACAACATCGATAAGACGGGACCCGAGAGCTCCGTGGAGGTGGTGGTCGAGTACCAATTGGCTCGACCCGGAGCCAAGAAGGAGACCCTGAAGTGGACGCGTAAGGCGTCGCTCGACTACAAGAAGGAGAAGAAGTCGAAACAGATAAACGTGTCGTTCCTCGGGGAACTCCAGTCCACGCAATTCCCGCAATACAACTCCAAAGTCACGTACTATACCCAACTCAGACCCTACCAGAACTCCAAGACCGACGCCAGTGTCGAGTGGGGACCGGAGCTGAAGGACAGGGTCCGCGTCAGCCACACGTCCAAAATGGATGTCATCGAACTCAGACCCTTTCAGATGATCAGTGAGAATCAGTTCGTGGTTGAGGTGACACCACTGGACATCAACTACGACTTCAAAGTCAATTCCGATATCTCGATGATTAAGTCGAAGCCGAAGCTACTGTCCGTCAAACTGGTCGGTAAGGACGTGAACGGACGGCCCGATCGCGAGATTAAGGGTGAGTTCAAGTACGAGAGTCTCGAGGCACCGGTACAGCAGATCATGAACGCCTCGCTCGCATACCCGGGCAATGAAGTGAGCTATTACTCCGAGATTAAGCAGATTAAGGACTTGACGTACTCTGGGAAAGTCATCTATTCGCCATCCAAGGGACGGGTAGTCACCATTGAGCACAAGGAAAGGTATGTTGTTTTTGCTTATTATTAGGTGTCTTATTACCAGATCTTACATTTTTCATCATTAATCCCTATACGCTTGGGAACAGTATTACGAATCCGACCCAAAAAATATACGTGAAATCCGAGGCCAAGACCTCCTACTCGTGGAAACCAGACACCAGTGCCATCACACTGGAGGCCGGTTGGCAGGAACCGGAGATTTTCCGATACAAACGGGTGCTGCTGGTCAACGACAAAAAGATGAACCACATAGACGTCACCTATGAGAAGACTACCGGCGCTCTCACCGCTAACTCTGCCTGCGAGTTCCACGACAGAGCCCTGGACATCAAGGTGGACAACATCTACCAGCCCAAGTCCGCTCAGTTGGGTGTCCGCGTGGGCCAGAAGTCCTACAAATTCAGTGCCACTCGAGTGCCCAAAGAGTCGATTTCCGTGAAGTTGGACTCATCGGAGAACTCACGGCTTAAAGAGGTATTATTTCCTTACATACCTGTGCTCACACACTGATATAATGAAATACTGTACTGTATATCCACGATTTACCCCTTTATGAGTGCATTTTTAGGAAGTATTTGATTAATTTATCACAAGATATAATAGTTAAACACAAAACTAATTATGAAATATTTAGATATACTTAATTTAGATATATTTGTATTACAGTATATTGCATAAAAATTTTGCACTCATAAAAGTATTCATAAGAACTTTAGTACCACTTAAAACATTAATATTTTCATCAAGGTCTCCTACTTCATTTATTCAAATGAATGACTCTAACTAACTGACTAGTATAACATGACATTGAATAGATTTCCTAAAATACAGTTCTAAACAAAACGTGTTAATAATGTTAATAATGACCAAATTTATAGTTCAAAGCGAAAGTGTCGCGCAAAGAGAAGTCAACCCTTTCGGTGGTCACGTCTGACAACTCGGAGGTGAACGCCTACATCGACCCGTTCGGTGCCAAAGAGA